GCGATATGGGCTGTGATGCCAGGAGTTGAGTACGTGCTGTGTGTGAAATTCGAGCCCGGCTTTACGAATGCGGAATACAAGTTGTATGATGCTCGCGTCAATCCACTCGTACAGCTGGCTCCACTTCCAATCGTCGCTCCAAGTACCGTGATCCAGTTGGACGGACGTCGAATTCTTGGTATTCCACCAGGGATGGCGCTCCCGGTAGGGTTTCCTGCAACTCTGTCGGTGGATTTGTACTCTCCATTGGTTTGGGCAATGCGTTAATCAGACGGCAATCTCTTGCGCAGCAACTGCCAAGTGATCTGATTGGATAAAATAATCATAAATTCATGTGAAACCACCGCCTTGGAAAACCGGTTTTATACCGGTATGGACTTGATTCTATTGTGACATTGCACAGTAACTCTAGACGCGAGAGTATTATGTTTTAATACTCACAGATTTTTATTAAAAAAAAAAAACATATCACGAGAAGTGCCGTCGTGTATGTCACATCTCTTGAATTTGTGGGTATGTGAGTATTATAAAATGGCCTTTTTTAGCCACTCCATATATTTACATTATTTCATGGTAGGATCCTAGACCCCTATATGTATTTATGGTTTATCTATCCCAATACTCACATACTCACATACTCACAAATATTTACTAATGATACTAAGTTACTATACAATCTATCGACATGTTCTAATTGAAAGCTTGTCAGACTGATCTTCGAAGAGCTTGTAAAAATTATCTACTCTTCCGTGCTGTACATAGTAAAGCCATAGAACGCAACATTGCCCACAGTGGCCGAAACGTGGATTCTGAATTTCAACTTCGCGATAGGAGTAAATCTTTTGGTATCACACGTGGCCTTGGCCGAGAGGATCAAAGTAAGCCTTATGCTTGTTGAATACTGCTAACCAATGCGTACCCCCGATCTGAGGTGTTCCCATGTTCAGAATACAATAATCTTTGCTTCTATCTAAATGCTGCTTGAAATCAATTTGATCTACTTTGACTCCAAGTGAATTAGAGAGTTTCATGAGTTGATCATCCGTCGTTCTAGACAAATTAATAATTATTTTTTCGCTCATGGTGCTTTATTTTTTCGACAAGTATAATATAATCGTCATCAATATAATCGCATAAACTATGTCTTCTGCTTCCGATATTTCCGCTTTTGAACACTCCGTCGAACCAGCTCCAGCTGAGACACTTTTCCGCGATAAGAAATGGACATATATTCAGGATTCAACGTCTAACACCGGTCAGTATGCCGGACAAATCCAATTTAATCTCTCAACGATCTCTTCGCAAGCCGCATTTGTCAATTGGGAAGAAGCTGTTATCGAGCTTCCAGTAAGCTTCAAATTCTTAATGGTGGTGCTGGTTCGGTCACTTCGACTGCTGCCTGTACTGTGGATCAATTGATTCCTAAGGCCGGTGCGTGGCAGTTCATTGACAGTGTTCAGGTTGTTATTGACGGAACCACAGTACAAACGAATCAAGTTCATGAGAATGTGAATACAACGTTCAAGGCTATCACTGAAACGGACTATAACACGTATGTGAAACATGGTCCAACCAGCAACTTTGTATTGGATGAATATGCCACACCAACGATCCAAGGGTCTAGCGGAGCGGCACAATCGCTCGATAACTTGGCTACTTCGTCGTTTATGACAGCTACTAATAATGTCGGTCAGTTTGGATTGGCTAACACGTACTCGAACCGAGGAGCCGCCGAACGATCGCTCTTTACTCCTCTTGACCAACAAAGCTCGAAACTTGCATTCGATGTTATGGGAGGCAGCGCAAATCTTCAGGCTGTATCGAAACCTCAAGTGTATGTGGCTCCTGCTGGCGCCGTTGCTGCTGGTTCGCCATTTACGTCGCGCATTATCTGGCTTGCATTAAATTGCGGAATATCTGCGACTATTTCAAGAAATGTCCAATGCAGAAAAACACGCGCGGCTTCATTTACCTCAATTACAACAGCTCATCGACTACTCTAGTTACGACTGGTACTGCGGGTGTTGTTTCGTCTGCTACTATTGCTAGCTTGAGCAATAATATGAATTTTGGCAACACCTGCCCAGTGCTTTGGAATTTAAGCAGTGGTGTAACGACAACTGCTTTGGCCGGTGGTCTTGCGCTCCCTGCTTCTGCTGTAACTTTTTCGATTACAGCCGACATCAATGGCTCTCCAGCCGCTGGAACTGGCATTACTCCATCGCAATCGTTCTCGCGTCTTCTCGTTTCAACCTACTCACCCAGCCCAAGCGCCGATCATGCATTGGCTCAAAAGAAAACCTTCCGTTACTTCGAACGAATTACGAATAAATTCACAGTTGCTCCGGGCGCTTCCTTCACTTGGACAGTCAGTAATGGCATTGCTAATCCAAAGCGTTTGATCATGCAACCTGTTATTACCAATCCAACCGCAGGTGCTACTGTATCGGATGTAATCAATCCTTTCCGTAGCCCATTTTCGACTGTACCTGCTACGACAAGTCCATTTGCTGCATTGAAAAATCTTCAAGTCACAGTGGGCAACGTGCCTATCTGGAACAATCCTGTCAGTTTTGGTTATGATTTATTCTTGCAAGAGATGTCGAAGTCAGGCGTCGATGGTGGTCTTAATGATGTAACGTCGGCTAGTTTGCTATCTCAGTGTCAATGGGAATCGCTTTACCGATTTGTTGCTGTTGATATTGGTTGCCGCCTTCCAAGTGAAGATGGTGCCAGTAAGAGTATTATTGTGTCTGGTACTTCCAACTGTAACTACGCTCTCACGATTTATTACCACGTATTGCGTGAAGTTGTTGCAAGCGTTGATACGGCTATGGGCACGGTCTCCCAAGGTCCTGTTCAAGGCTGATTTTGATAACGTCGTAATGTAATTCTTATTAACCACATTCTTTTTTTTAAATATACGTGACCCAATCAAAATTAAACATGAACGGCTCTTTCTCCGATAATCAGACAAAGCAAAAAGCATATGATCGCTACTACAAAACGATGTCAAAAAGCGATTTCGTTCAAGGTAAGAAGCTGAAGGCGTTGATTCAACGCGAAACATTAGACGATGCAAGCACCGACTCACTTGCGAATTTGTTTCAGCAAGTAATGGGGAAGAGTCGCGAGTATGAGTATGATCAAATCACAAAAAAGCTGCTGAAAGGTCCTAAAGGTCCTCCTGAAATTATCAAAGGTGAAGCAAGTGATACTCCCAAATCTAGTAAGAAGAAGCATACATACGTCCCACAATCAACCGATACAGATGCTAATATGGAAAAGCCCACTGCACCTGAAGAATCATTCGAGGACTTCTTTAGTGGAGTAAATGATGTTGCGCAAAAGGTAGTCAATACTCGAGCATACATTAAAGGAAAAAAAAATCATTAAAAGAAGTGGTGGATGACCACGTTCTGAAATATCTAAACAAGCGTAGAGAGTTCCGAAGAGAGGATTCAAATCGAAGACGTCAAGAAATGGCAGCAAAGTTTGCTGATGAAGTCATGAAAGAATCAGTAAAGCTTCTAAAAGGAAAACGAACCGCAACTCCCCAAATAAATCTCCCACAGACAAACGAGCGACAAAAAAAGCTGCTAAGCGAGCTGAGGAGGAACCTTCAATTACTCGGCAACTCTTTCAAGACTCGGATGTTAATGAAAGCAGTGATGGCAAAGAAATAAAAGAAGAGAAAAGATTACGCGGGTTGAATGCTAACATAAAAAATTATACTGATGATATCAACAGCTACAAAAGTCAATTTGCAGCAAACTTGTACGAAAGTATCCAAAATAGATTTGGCGAGGCTGTCGATCAACGCAAAGGCAAAGACTATTTTGAAGACAATGCACCTAAACCACCCAGAAAGCATAAAATGAAACGAGATGCTATGAATCAGTACAAAGCTGAAATGAAAGGCTGGCTGGATGGAATCTTTATTTAAGAATTGGTTAGACACGAAACTTCGTGATGATACTATTAAGCTTGGCTTCAAGCTCAGCTATTTTTTTTTTGGCTTGATTTCTGATAGCAACATGGGGTAAGACGCACACTTTTGAGTAATCAATGCTGAACATAATATCTTTTAGATCGACGGACTCGTCTTCAACATCTAATCCCGCTCGATCAGTAAAATTGACAATAGATCCTAAACCAAGCTTTATAGCATCTTGGGCAATGTATCCTATTTGTAACAGCACATCGTCTCCTTGGCTTTTATAACGATACTGAACGGGGTTTAGATCCAAGATTGAATCTCCAACAGATTCATCTATTGGTTCGATATTCGTCTTAATTCGTTTATCGGATGTTGTGTACAAGCCAGCCCCAGCTAACATGGCGTTCGAAGCTCTTATAGAAACAGCTATTGAAGACAGAGGACCAATAGTAGAAACAAGACCGCCAGATCTAAGAAAATAGGCTACTCCCGTTCCAGTTATGTCCAAAGTCGATGAAACACTACCTGAAAGTCTAATATCGCCGATGGTGATCCAGTTCCAATACCGACTCTACCAGCCGAAGATTTCGTGTATTTGCAGTCATTAAAACCAAATCGTTAGTTCCAAAATATGCACTATTAGTCGAGGTTGCATTTGTTGCATTGCTCAGTTGTAAGCCAAAATCAATAGGCGATGCGTTAGACGATTCCATGAAAATCGGCATATCATAGTTAGCGGTTCCATCGTTGAGTGCATTAGAGGCTTTAATATAAATATTTCCAGAATTCAGTATAATCGGAGCTGTTCCAAACGAACTAGTGTATGGCATATTGGTATTAAATATCATCTTATTGATAGTGTCAGAAACAAGGTAAAGACAATCACTTGATGGTGTAGGAGACGATCCGGCAGGATTTATACAAAACGCATCTGCACTTGTTGCTAATGTATAAGTATGAGGACAACCAGTTTTATACGGCTGAGTATTGCCAATATTGAAACAAAATCTGTGCGTTTGAGACGTAAATCCCACAGTTGGTTTATCGTTCCAATTGATAGTAAATAAATCAGCGCTTGTAGCAGAAACAACTCCAACGAATGAGCTCGGATTATCCGTTGATATTAAATTCAACAACGGATATGTTTTGTTGTTTGAGGCGGATGTAGTTCTTGAAGCGATGACCAATCCATTTGTATCAGATACTCGATAAATGCTCATAGTTTCACGATTCACAGTTCCGCCGTAAAAACGCAGATTATTTGTGCTTGATGTGCCTAAAGGCATCAATCCGACACCTGAACTATCGAGTGTCATTGATTTTGATGCTTGAAATGTACCCAGAGTTGTTAAGTCATTGTAATTTAGTTCATTAGCATCAGCTGTCATAGTGAGTCCATTAATGTTCAATGTAGAATAGCTAAGATTCAATATCGAGCTTCCAGCTCCATTATCTCCAGTTATTGTATTACAAGTAATAGAAGGTGAAGCAACTGATACTGAAGCAATAAAATTTCTTCAAAGACTCAATTAAACTTGGGTTCGTTATGTGGCACTTCACGTTTGGAGCCTCCATAGTACCTCTGTCAGAAATAGCTGTTATATATGACATATCGCACTTAAGCTGTATCGAAGAGCCTCCATACAAACTTCAAGTTAGGATTTGTCCTATAAGCAGGTTTGTGATAGATAAATCACGAAGACCCGAATAGTCAAGAGTTGAATTCAATACAGCCGCTTTTGACGCCACGGCTCCACCAAGAGTATGGTCCCAGCAATGAGTGAATACGATTCTGAGACTAGCAAGTTGATTATTTTTGATGACTTAGTCAATGAGCCAAAAAGAACTCAAGCTCAGATCTCACAGTACTTCATCCGAGGACGGAAGCAAGGCTGGTCAATGCTTTACATTTCACAGAGTTACTTCGGAATTTCAAAAACGATTCGAATCAACTCTCACTACGTGATTCTTGGTCGAAATCTTACTCAACGAGACCTTGGTATTATCTGTCGTGACTTCCCTACTGACATCCCAATTAAAACATTCATTGATCTATACAAACGAACAACATCCGAAAAAAATGAGCACGATGATGATGGATATCATCAATTGTAGGATCTACAAGAATGTTATCGATTACGTATGCGACTTATAAGTTGCTTATTCACTACTACTTTTTTTTGGTCGTATCAACAGACGAATGCATACGTTGTTGTCAATGATACCAAGCGGGATCATATTTTGATCAAGGAATGACAAAGTCAATTCCGAATTAGTTCCTTGCATTGGGCAATAGGCTAAACCCTGA